TCCAGTGGGTAAGGTACTACTGAGTCATGACAGCTGACCATGTCGCACGCCGAAGGACCTTCCCTGCCAGCTCTGTGAGGGTTGGCGGAGCATTGAGAGGCAATATCGCATAAAAAAACCGAAGGTTTGAGCTTTCACTTCTTTGAATCTTTTCTCAGGATGCTCCACGAGTCTCACTTCCATTTAAAGTAGTGGTGGCTTTTAAATGGGAACTAGCTTATGCTGTGCATTGAGGGGGAAGGGGGGGGGAAGGAGTTGACAGACACTTGGACTCAATCCCTTTGAACGCGTCGAGTATGTGTTTTTCTCTGCTCTCTCTCTCTCTCGTCTGCGTGGCACTCTTTGGCCGTTGTGACTTGACGCACATTCCAGCTTTTCACATATAATCAATTGCTCAACCACCCCTCAATCATTCTCTGACTGCGTTTCTTGGGCTCGCAAAAGGATTATGCACGGGAGGGCGCTAATGTGAAAGTCGGCGTTTTTATCTCGGTACTCTAGCACTAATTAGCTTTCCCTGCAGACGATGGAACTCGTTTGGCTAGGGTGAAAGCCGATCCGCAGTGTGAACCCTAGACCACGCCTGTAGTAAGTGGCGCCACTTGCCGCTACACCACCTCCGCTTCATCGAAATTTGAATATTCTTGTGTTATATCATAATATATTCTTGATTTCTGACTCTAATAAACGGATGAGGGATAAAGTCTTTACCGTTGATCGACCTTTTGTAGAATGCGGCACGCATTATACTTCCATTAAGAATCGTATGGCTTACTGAATGCGAGTGACTTACACATTGACTTGCGGGGAGAACCGATGAACAGGCTAGTGTTCTTATCTTCCAAGACCAATCTAGTACCAATTCGCCGTCCCTGGAGGGTAAAAGCTTTCTGGGCTCTGATTTTAACATGTTTAAGAAGAAAATAGATAGCCCAAAACAGATGAAAATGCTTTTGCAAAGCTTGTTCAAAGTTTTTTTTTCCGCAACTGTATGCATACATACACACGCACAAGTACCTAGACACGTAAACGTGGTCATATGCCGTCACGTCACATGCATGCCACATGTACGCTCACACACAGTACACACATAGACTCTCACACATGCACACCCGCGTATGTATGAATCCCTACGTGCATATCCATGCACACCTAAACACACTTGGTGGTTTATATAAAGTAGGACATTTTACCGCATCTTGAAAGCGCATTTAGCAGCCAGCCATATGTAGCGGTTTACGTGTGAGTTGAGTTGCCTGCATCGCCAAAGGGAAATATTGCACGTCTTGAAATTTCGCTCCAGTATTCGACGTCAGGTTCGCAAAACCGATCTTGTGATGCAATCGAAGCGTGCCGTGGATATAGGAATTGATACGTACTGTAATGGCGAAAATAACATAAGATGTAATAGTTGGTATAGCTACGACATCAGCAAACGAGAATTCATCCGAGCACTGGCTCGTATGCTCGTACAGTGCTTGCAATTAGGTGAGTCTAATTCTAGGCAGAAGATGGCGAAGAAAAACGAAATAAAAGGACACAAATGGCGAATCTTCTTATTTCGCCTCACCCCGTCATTTATCCTGAGGTTTTGATATGCCAGCGAATAGATGGGCGGGGGGATGAAAGGACGGGGGTACTGAGCAATTAGCAATCCTAAGAAAATTACTCCGGGTAAATGCGACTCCCCTACTAATCCTATCCGCAGCTTCATCGTGGCGTAGGGGTGAACGGTTTTGGACTGTTACAAAAACGTACGAATGCGGAAGGTGCCACGTCAGAGCCTGGCGAGCTACGCGTTGTTAAACTTCTTATCGCCGAAAACTGTAACAGTTATGGGCCTCATTCCCCTGAACCTTAGGGAAGCGCCGACAGGGCGACGTCGGCTGGGACCGCTCGGGCGAGGCTGCTAAAATCACAGGGCCAATGGAGATTCAAGTCGCCCAGGACTAGGATGACGATCTGTACTTTCAACGCACGGACGCTTGCATCGGAAGCTCACATCGAGGATCTGATGTTGCAAGCCAGGAAGATCAAGTACGCCGTCATCGGACTGACCGAGACAAGGAGGCATCGCCCGCTACACGCCGTATACGAGACTGAAGAAGAACTGTTCCTCGGAACATGCGACAGCAGAGGCGTTGGCGGTGTGGGTCCTCGTCAATACGCACTTTGTCATGAACATCGCATCGATTCGTACGAAAATCTGACGACCCGAATTGAGAAGATGTGGTTCAACCGCCAGCGTTGGACAATCTCCGTCGCCTACGCACCGACATCAAGCTAAGACGAGGATGAGCTTGAAGCGTTCTATATGGAATTGGAGAAGTTCTACAAGGAAGATCGTACCTTCTTCAAAGTCTTCGTCGGTGATTTCAACGCTAAGATCGGACCAAGAAGAACGGCTGAAGAACTTCACATCAGAACTCAGGGAACGGAGTGGAATGAGCAGGGTGAAAGGCTGTCTGAGTTTATCATGTCGACCAACACCATCCATGGTAATTCGCAGTTCCAGAAGCCCTACTCTCTACGCTGGACATGGGAGTCTCCTGGTGGACAATTCCATAACATCGACCACATCATCTGCAATCGAAGGTTTTGCCTGACCGATGTCGCTGTTGTCCCTAAGTTGTACACGGGATCCGACCATCGTCTCCTTCGCGCAAGATTCCGCTTTTCGATGCGAGGAGAGAGAGCCGCAAAGTTCAAGAAGCGAAGCCCCAAGACCACCATCAACTGGGATCACCCACTTCTCTCGCTGGGCTCTGGGAGGATTCTGTCATTGACAACATCGACGAGGAATACGAAAGGCTTTTGTACATCTTCAGACTGCGCCAAGAAGTCAGAGGGTTACAAGATTACCAAGAAGCGTCTATCTTTGGATACTCTCGAGCTGATTCGCCAACGTGGAGCCGCACGAGCCGCAGGCAATTACCAGCTCACGTCAGAGCTTGCGAAGCTATGCAGAGAAGCGATAAAGGAAGACCTCAAGGAGAGAAGAGCAGCAGTACTGGTGGAAGCCGCAGAGGCTGGGAAGAGCGTACGGAAGCCTTAGAGGCTGAGAGAATCATATGCAACGCCTCCGCGACTTCGCCAGCTGTAAGACTAAGATGACCGCCCTCCGACGTCCGGATGGAACAATCACCGCATCCAGAAGCGCAATGGAGAAGGTCATCCACGACTTCTGCTCGGATCTCTTTGACAGCCACTTCCACCTGCAACCATACCGCTTGGAGCAGGATGGATATGTCGTTCCTGCAGTCTTCTCTTCCGAAGTCCGACACGCCATCTCGTCGGTGAAGAATCGTACGGCACCTGGCCCCGACAGGATCAGACCCGAACATCTGAAGTATCTTCCGCCAGCTCTTGTCAAAACTCTGGCTCGACTCTTTACGCGCTACCTGTAGGAATGCAAGGTAGCCACCTCGTGGAAAAAAACCAGCAAGACTGTGTTGCTGTACAAGAAGGGAGACCTGCACGACATTGGCAATTATCGCCCAATCTGCCTGCTGTCTGTCGTCTACAAACTTTTCACACGAGTCATCCTGAACAGGATTGGCAGAATACTAGACGAAGGACAGCCATGCGAGCAAGCAGGGTTTCAAAGAGGATTCAGTACGATCGATCACATCAACACGGTAAAGAAGCTCATTGAAGTATCGCGAGAGTACAAGATGCCGTTGTGTCTCACGTTTATCCACTTGAAGAAACCCTTCGACTCCGTTGAGACAGAAGCGGTTATCGAAGCCCTGGGCAACCAGGGTATCCCTTATCAGTACATCAGGGTTCTTCGTGAGCTCTACAGCACTTCACGACCAAGATTTCACCATTCTACAAGGAGGTCATCATTGATGTGAAGAGAGGGGTTCGACAGGGCGACACCATCTCGCCGAAGCTAATCAGCGCCTTTCTCGAGAACGTCATACGTCAGCTGGAATGGGAAGACATGGGAGTGAAGATCGACGGTCGGCAACTACACCATCTCCGTTTTGCTGACGACATCGTTTTGATAACGCCAAACATCGAGCAGGCGGAACGAATGCTGGCTGAATTCGACTGCGCCTGTGGAAGAATCGGTCTACGGCTGAACCTAACGAAGACGATGTTCATGAGAAACGATATGGTATCTGATGCCCCATTCACGCTCAACGGAACGACCATCTCTGAATGCTCTAGCTATATGTACCTAGGTAGTGAAATTAATATGATGAATGACCTACTACCAGAGCTGAGCAGGAGGAAGCGAGCGGCTTGGGAGCCTTCAAGAATATCGAGGGAGTAGCGAAGAAGATAAAGAACACCAATGTGCTTCGATTCCGCGGTCCTTCCTGCCTTGACGTACGCCTCAGAGACCTGGACTCTACGAAAACAGGATGAGCATGCGGTCGGTGTTCTTCAACGCGCCATCGAAAGGGCGATGCTCGGAGATTCCCGCTATACGAAAGTGAGAGAGGGAATCCGGAGCTCCGCACTCAGCCAACGATCGAAGATCAGAGACGCCGCCGCATTTGCCAAGGTTTTGAAGATCAGGTGGGCCGGACACGTCATGCGTTTCGAGGACGACCGCTGGACTAGAGCAATCACCGACTGGATTCCACGGGATGTCAAGCGAACGCTTGGAAGACCGCCTACGCGATGGTCAGATTTCTCCGTGAAAGCTCTGAACGAATGGTATGAAGTTCATCGTGTCCCTCGAGCTGAGAGAGTTCATTGGGCAACTCTTGTACGTTGCAGGGACGAATGGAGACGTTACTGGCGCCCGCTCGAGGAACTCGATGGTCAACGAGAGCACAGGTGATACAGGTGAATTTTAGGCAATCTTCTCCCTTTCCTCTGCATGCTTTCGAGCGACTGCACAACAGATTGGTGCTACACAGATGACTGGCGCTTCTATATATTCTTAGCTGACTGATTCCCAAAACAAAAAACACATTCAAGTGGAAACCCACCTGAAAGCTTTGTGAGCTCGCTTTTCGGCTAACGTGCGCCCCCGACGTCGATTAAACATTGAGACCGGCGCGAAGATTGAAGAAATGACCCGTTCGCGAGTGATTGCTGTAGACAATGACGAGATCTTCTTTGTGGCACTGGAACATACATACCGTACTCTGATTTCGAAACATGATTCTTAAATTGTTTCGTTTTTACTCAGCTCAGCCACCGAAACGTCTGGGAATTCTCGAAAGCGTTCAAGAACCTGCGTTTTCCTAGAAATTTGGCCCAGGGCGTGTCACGGCGTTGGAGAATGGCTGCGTCTCTACACGAACTCCCTCTAGACGAGGGTCAATATACGTTCAGAACAAAGCATTATAAACTCGGTGTTTTGGTATTAGCAGGTCAACTTGACCTATTGCGTTATGTAGCACGCGGCCATACAGAGACAAACGAGCGTGCTGCACCAAGTGCAGCATGCTCGTTTGTCTCTGTATGGCCGCGTGCTGCACATGGTGAAGTACGCTTCGTTTGAACTTATTCAACATTGTTAGAAGATTTAAAAGAACCGGAATACTCCTGATGTCTTCTGGGACAAAATATGTGCGGGGGAAACTGCGGGATTGAATAAGAGCCAAGCTGCTCACATTTTCCGAGAAATACCTCAACCATTATGCTCTTGTTTCATTCTCATTCAATGAGAAAACCGAAATCCTGGTTACAACACGATTGAGAATTCGTGAACTGGTGTGAGTGAAAAGTTTCTAGGCACATTGCGTCACTTTTTCAACTCTTCTTAATTTTATCTAACTCTTTGACTAGTTTTGCATTTTTTCGGCTCACCAGTAACAATATTGAATTCCGTTTAGCATATGTCTGCATATAAATGTGATGCATAGTACGACGTGTGTACGATATTTTTATATTATATGTGTGAGATGAAAAAAGATCTGATCCACAAGTCGCGTCGATAAAATGGCGTCGGCCACAGGAGCCGGGTAGCGCCAAAACGCCGCGGTACGCAGTGGGTTGAAAAAGCGGAAGGCGCAAGAGAACCTTTATGTTTAGCAAGCAGCTTTCTCATACTCAGATCATTTCAGAAACAGTAAGGCGTTTCTTCTGAAGAGCCCATTTGGTGGACTTTAAGATGCACTAACCAGAGAGGTCATTCGGGACGTAGAGCGCTTTTCGAAAACGGTTCCTGCATGATGTAGGGGCTTGTACATAGACTAAAAAACTGGCGCTCGTTTTTCTTGATCGCCTCTCAAAATATCACAAAAGGTGAAGAGAAATCTATGGAAATATTTTGATCTTTTCCCAGATCGTTGCAACCACTTTATGGGGTCGAACCGAGCACACATGCAGACGACATGTCGCGCATCAGTTATGGCAAAGATGAAGATATCCGATTTGCGCTGTGTTCTTGAGATTTGGCTGCGCAACTCATCGCTGGCAACAATGACCACATCTTTGCTGTCGGTTTCACCATAGTAGCTCAGTTTGTAGCCTTCTCCAGTGTCGCGTGACTTTTTCCTTCCCATCTTGTCTCCTGTACGCATGCAATGTCCACTTTTCGTCGTTTAATCCTTCCCGCAAGCTGGAGCATCCTGCTAAATTACCTATGTTCAAGTTTGCAATGCGCAATGGTTCCACTCGCGGTTGGGTGCTCATTCGGACTATCTCCTTTAACCAGTTCCGCCCCTGAACAGGCAGCCCTCGTCCATTTGTCACGGTGGCCGGGCGAACCCGCCGTACGTTCCCTCTGGGGTACGTCCTGCTGGCCATGCCATCCTTGTGACAGTAACGCGGGGTTCGTATTTGACCGCGAAGGAGTGGGGGGGGTCGCAAACGCAGGGCCCATTCTGAACCGAGGAGGGCAGCCATACTAAATGTTGTATAGCTCGAATGATGGAAGATTCATTCATTATCCTCTATGTGCAGAACATCTGAAGAGATATCTGAAGGCAGAAGCAACTCGCAAGCTTCGAAGTGGGGAGCAGGCGATGACAGGAAGTACGATAACGGCCCGCCATGACGTCATAAATAAATAAGCAAACGAAATAAGTACACGTTCAAAAGCTGGCGTACGCTGCTGCAAAGTATGGATGCAGTCTAATACCGTCTTCTGGTGGCACTTCAGCCGTCTTCTCATCAAGCAGAGCCCAGAACTCCTCGAGTTGTTCAGAGCATCCAGCTTGTGGGGCATATGCAGAGAGGAAGTGGTATAGTCGTTGTTCAATGCGACAACAATCTTTATTAAACGGTCGTTGATAAGGAACTACGCTCATAATCGAATCACGAAACCGCTGAGACATGATTACAGCCACACCACTTGTAGTTTTCAGCCAGCCACAAAAAAGTCGCGCCCTATCTCTTTCGACTTGCAACCAGCCCACCTCATCTCTTGCACGGCACAGAGGTCGATCTTTCTACGCTTCTGATAACTCATACGAGCGTCCAGTCAGCGTCCCAACAACATTCAGCGTCACAACAAGACACATTGCACTTCTTTCGGACTAGCTTGGTTGCCTCCCGATTGCAAGGGGGGTCCTCGCATTTCACAGTCGCCGGGCCTTGCGAGTGCGCGTCGGCTCCCGCGGACGCCGTAGCATTATCTCGAAATTCATGAGGCGTGCTCAAACATGTTGGTGTGGCACAGGGTCTTCGAAGCCGGCCCTTCACAAAGGCCTGTCACCTGCAGTCGTGTTTGTCCGTGTTCTGCTTACCTCGCAAAAGCAAGCAGTTCCCAGTAGCACCACGTGGAGGAACGGACTACGTGAGATCAAAAATGAAATTTTTGAATCGTAAACCGTTATAAACATTCGTGAGAGACGTAGTTTCCCGGCCATAAACTCAATATCAATTGAAAGGCTTGTGCATTTCAGCTTTTCAGTTGGATGTAAAAAAAGAAGTTGTTGAAAATGCTCAATTTCGTGGAGCTGACACTCCAATCTGAGCACTTAAAAGTTGTTGGAAACAGAATCTCCATACAAAATGAGACGACTATCTTTCAGGGCAAGGATTTTCTGCAAAACAGACTCACTGACGAATCTTTTCATATTTGCCGTGAAATTTCGAGTGAGAAAAAACGCCATTACTTATGAACCAACCCAACATTTTCTGTTTCTGTTTGACGGCAGGATGCCTTCTGGAAGCATTTTTAAGTATTTAGAGATAAGCTGTAATGCCACGTGCAAGATGGATCTTTGCTTCGTGCAACGTAGACAGGTTTGCAGCTACAGAACTGTATTACCTTCACCGAACGAAAGTGCGCGGAAATAAACCTAAAGGTTGTGAAAGCCAGACGTCGTTCCGCGCTCCAAAATGTCAATCATTCAGCGTCAGTTCACCATGGGTGCCACTGATACCGAGGTCCCGCAACGAACATGTCAGCAAGCTGCCTAAAGCAGCAATCATAAGCAACGAACAACGAAAAAGAGATGGCACAGACAGGCAAACGGCATCTGATTCTCATTACCTTCCAGTATGATTTTGGCGCAGTTCCGAGTGAGGAGTCAGCAGTGGCATGCTGCAGCTGCAAATCCGTTCAATTTGCACATGGCAAAGTTCAGCTCCTATCTCTAACGTATCTTGGAAAGTATTCGCTCGTGGTGGCACAGGAAGGACCTAGCTCTCAAGCTCCACTGATTTTTCTTTATCAAATCCCCATTAGCAGTGCCTCGTGAACAAGGAATAATAATCTTTCAAATACAACAAGGTCCCTTCAGAAAGAAAGTGAAGATCTTCATCTAATTTTTTTCTTCGTTTTTCATCTTAATGCGAGGGAGCTCTGATCGTTTGAGGCACAAGCCCGAAAACTCGCACGTGTTTGCCAAAAAAGGATTTTTCCGATGCTCGCGTTTATACCAAACTCCTTTAGTGAACGCCTAGTCTGAGTGGTCTGTTGCTCGCAGAGCAACCAGAAGTGAGAGGGCGCAAAAAGTAGCGCAAGGTTATGGATATGCTGGCGGGGCGGCAGCGCAGGCGAAGTATGAAGACGGGAACGGGTTCCCGCGCACTTCTGCCCGAAGAAAAGGGCACGATGCCACGGTTGCAGATCATACTCCACACACACGACGAGGACCAGGATCCACAGATTTGAGTGTACAGTTAGCCTTTAGATAGATAGGCTTTTCGAAGTGGTCGTTCCGGTCTCTCTTCTTCTGTCTGTTTTGTTTTCTTCCACTGACGCTCTTGCCCATCTTGCACTCGACCGGCGATCATGATCGAGTACAAGGAGTAAAGCCGTATGGAAGGTGTTTCTTATATTTTCTTCAGTGATAGTGATATGGCGACGAGATAAAATAAGGCGACGATACACCACAAAGCGAGAGAGACCGAAAATTGACGGGTGATCGAGCACAACGGCATCATTACGACGACAAAGGCAATGTAGACCGGCGTGGGTCCCTGGCCCAATACCTAGACTTCCGATGCGTTGCCTGCCAACTTTCGAGTTTTGAATGTAGTGCCACCTCTGTAATCGGATCACATTATGCATTCAGGGTTCTAGTCTTAGTTTATAGCGGACAGCGCCTTTGAAGGCAGTGGGCAAGATAATTTTGCTCTTTGCAGAAAACGGGAGCAGAAGCACTTAGTAGTACGACATCAAGCCAAAAATGGGACAAAACGGGCTAGAACGCGCAAAACAGGTCCCTTATGAACCGCTGCAATTAGGAAGTGCACGTGTCTACGCTTAAGATAAATCATGGTGGTCAAAGATCAATGAAAAAAATAGGGGGTTACTGCACGGGAAATATGTAACCGCATTATTTCAAGCGGTAGTCATATTCAGGACAATATCAGCCTGGATCTTTGACAACAGTAAGGGCATACTGATGACGATAATAATTCTCACAAAGCGGCTGCCGAGGATTTGCAGGGATCGAGTGGAAAAAGCCGAGAAAATGAACAAGTCAAAAACTCTAAAATGGGCACGATTTACAAGGGAACCTCACACAAAGAAGGATTAATTTTGTCACCAGTTATTCCAACTCTTCGAAAAGGAGTCTGAAGAACGGAAAAGGTGTCATTCAGCCGCTTAGTATGGGTGAAAACAGCCGATCCAGTGGTGATCAATTGCTAATCGGTGCCGCCGTTCGTGAGCGTGTCGCTGTCGTAGCGACCCTTTGCCTTTAAGCAGCTGCTACGAGAAAAACCCTCTCTCCAACTACGGCTGTATGGTTATCAATAATTATGAGCAGCGATCCCCGAAGACGTGCAGTCATCCTTCGAGAACGGCTGTGGAAGAATATTATTGATACACTCAATGAGATTTATCCAAACTGGGGAGATCAACTGAAACGCCTACCTTTACAACCAGAAGTCACACTGCAAAAGTAAGCTGATTATTGTATTCGACACCTCCGCTCATTATAAAGACTGTCCTCTTTGGAGGATGCTCTGAACACTGTTCTCGTTAAACCTCCCTATCTATCTCTACGGGCTACTTCTAGGATTTTAGTTTGGAAAAATCGCATTAACCTCTGTCGTGGGGAAGGCTCCCTTCCGTATGCACCTTGAGGAAAGGACCAAGATTCTACGCGATGCTCCTGGCTATGTGATCCCAGGTCTGCCGTAGGAATCAGCAACACGAGCATATTCGGATTCGCTAAGGAAACTTGCGGGTTGCAAGCGACATTCGTGGCCTTTCGGAGGTTCTCTACATCTCCGGGAACATAACTAGGATCATGCAGATCCCAGGTAATAAGGACAGTCAGCGCTGAACAGAAGATGGTTTGTTCTCGTGAATCACTATGAACTAATTAATTGATGTCCATTTTGGAAAAAAATCGCCGTTAACGATTTTTTCCTTGGCACCGAGGTGACTACCACCTGCATACAAGCTGTAGCCCTTCAAGGAGACATAACTTCACCCGAACATTACTTTTGGAATATAGCTGGAAAATACTGGAAAACACGAGATTGAAGTTATATATTAGTATAACAAATGCTGTTCTCACTAAATTCGGTCATCTGCAGCATCACCTAGGGCAGAGCACTGGTTGTAGATTTTTGTCGAGACTGTACCAGCCCCACCTGGTTCCCTGCTCATCGAGCTCTCGAGTGACACTTCCCTATCTACCATTTCATTTATCTAACATTTCCTAGGTTGTCACCACTTTCTTGGAAGGAGATATTGTTGGGCCGATATACGGTAAAGCTTCTAGTAACTTCATGACTTCTTCATAGACCATGTCGGGCCACAGGGTAGCGAAATCCGGCATTACGGTTAATGCATTAAAATGCTCCATTTGAACAATCGACTCGATGTTCTATTTGCGTTATAGTTGCCAAGTTCAACAGTCAGCGTATTCAACTTAATGAGATCACCATACAGGCAAGCATGAAGAAGAGCGCGATAGCTACCACCTCGCTCTACAGTTTCCTTACTGTATACCGGCCCAACAATATCTGCATACCCCGACTCCCACAGCAGCGCTCTCCTCACAGCATCACCATTCTAGCCTACGAAGAGCGCTGGGATCAAGCGTTTGTTGGGCAGTCTTTAAGGCAGCGTTCAGACTTCGCGAAGGCGGCGCCTCAGCCGCGCGTTCCGCGATCGATCGCGTCGCTAGTTGTGGCGACCTTTTGTGTAGCGCGACTGATCCGATTGCGCTCCAATGAAAAATCAACTGAACGGATGCTAATTTACAGCCATTTTCATTACTTCTTGCTTCTTTTTCCTCCCGCTTGCCTCTCGCTTGTTTTTTTCCCTCCTCTTGGCACTATTATTTCTAATCTGTTTCTAATGTTTGTCAGTTATTATGCTTTTTACCTTTGAC